TTCCCTTTGTCCGAACTCTCCTTGAGTTCAGGATATTTATCATATTCCTGTTCATCATCAATATTCTGCCAAATCTGGGAAATCCTCGAGAAGAAGTGAGAAGGTTACACATAAACTCCTTCAACTCGATGGCCCTTTACGGATGCCACATCTGGGCAAGTAAAATCCTGAAAAACAAAAAATTGATTAACCAAATGACAGGCGAACAGAAAGAAATGGCACTGCGAGTAATAAGAGGTTATAAGACGATTGCCACACAGGCAATATTCCTCCTAGCGAGCACCACGCCTATAGACGTCCTCATCAAGGTATTTGACAAATATTGCGGACTCACCCGCGCTTTGAGGTCCTCGGACAGCGTGGATTTGGAAAAAGAAAAAGCTAGGTTAAAAAAAGAAAGACATTTGGGAACCCTACTCACCTGGCAGGACAAACTACGATCACCGGGTATCCGAAACCAAAAGGTAATTAAAGCGATCCTGCCTCGCTTCGACAGATGGGTAACCCGTCCCCACGGAAGCATATCCTACAGGATGACACAGTTAATCTCTGGACACGGATGCTTTGGAGATTACCTGTTTAGAATAAAGAAAGAGCCTTCTCCTAAATGCCACCACTGCAATGCAGTTAAAGACGATAATGTACATACCTCTTTCATCTGTCCGGCGTGGTCGGACGAAAGGAAGAGGCTGTACGATATAACAGGCCAACTGACGAACCTAGAAGGAACGACAGAAGCGATTCTTCACACACCGGAGAAATGGGAAGCATACAAAACGTTTTGTGAATCAGTCATGTCACAAAAAGAAGAGCACGAGAGAGCAAGGGAAGCTCTAAGGGAAATCGCGCAGAGAAACACTGCCAGCATTTATCTAAGATGGAGGTCAGCTATAACTTAAGATAACATTACTGTGCACATGAACCACTCGATGCATCACATCAAAATATCCACTACCACAAACAATTTCTAACGAAAAGACAGGACGCGGAGACACGCACATGTCGGCTTCCTCCATCTTGGATATCGACAGACATCTCCAAGAATTACGCACGCGCAGAAACATAGGACTCAGTCAGCAAGGCGCATCCACATGTGCACTGTACAACTACCATC